AAAAGTAATGGCGACTGCTTGTGAAAAGGGAGATACGCCGGATTCTGGATAGAAACAATACAAAATCTCGTAAACTCAGAAACCTATTTACACCTGTCAAGGTAGTACAGTATATGGTAAAGGTTATAAAACACTAACAGAAGTTTCCGGATACGCTTTCAAACAAGACTGACTAGGAGGCAACACAATCCCACGCCAGTCCCTACATTGTGGTAAGAGGGTCCCTGATTGAGCGCACCTTTAGTCACCTTGGCGAATTATAATCGGTAAAGAATCATGAATGAAGTAGCCTGCATGATTTCGATGGATTTATAGCTGCATAAAAAGAGCCCTTGCACACATTCTGCAGGAAACTACCGCTTCTCAAATTTGATACGTCAATGACGGATGTACTTCTATTCTAAGAGGGTTTAAAGGAGGAGACTCCTTGAAATGCTCATGTAGGCTAAAACCCACAAAGTAGACAACCTGATCCCCGCCTATTACGATAATACAATGAGCGCCAGTCAGAAGGATCCTTTTTGCAGGCATGTGGGGGTGATGCGAATCCTTCTCACAAGAAAACATACAAAACGAGGTTACGCAACCCTATGAGCGGATGAAAACGTGGGCATTGTCTCTACATGTGCGGTTATAAGCAAGTCTTTGCCTTACTCCCTCAAGCATGACCTTCCAAGGAGGCCTAGTATCCTGTAAAGAGCCTGCACGAGTTTTTTCATCCCTAAAATACGACTATATTTATGCAGGAATCGAAGGAAAGTGGGAAAAATGCAAAAAAATTAAGTGGTGATGATGTCCCCAGACTATTCACGTAGGTGCTGCGGCAATGCTCATTCAAAAGCCTAAAACAAGGTCGATGTGGCTCATTACACAAACTTCTTGCTGAGAAGTTAATTCTAAAGAACTATTCCATATTTACGCTGCACCTCCCAAGGTATGTTATGCTTTTGCACTTATGAAAGTCATAACATCGGAATACTTAACTACTAGTTGGTGTGACTGGCAGGGACATGGTGTGTTAGAATTCAAGCTAAGGAAAAGGAAGGACATCAAACTGCCGAAAATTGGACGATGCCAAGCATATGCCCAGACGGAGCTGATGCTGATCTTACATCAGCGCATAAGATGGCTACTACGACAACGTTGTGCGACCTGACCTGATTACAAGGCAGAACGGCGATTGCGGAACAGGAGCTACCGACAAGGGCAATAGAGACCGGGATAGTCACTTCTTGCTTATTAGCCGTCAACAGTCAGCCATATTCCAACCAGGTCTGCGGGACCTGGACTTATTAGCAATCGATAATCCAAAAAACGGGTTCGAACCTCAGGTCTCGTAAACTTGGAAAGCCGGCACCAAATACGGCAATGCAAAGAGGGCATAGGTGAGACTTACGACGTAGTTTGAGATCTTCGCTATCAGCCGGAAATATGCCCTGTTCAAAAACAAGCATGCTACTTTGTTGTGATTACCCTGGAATGCTGTTCTATAGTAATTACTTTTGCAACCCCAGCCGAGGAATATGTTTATTGAAGGGGGGGGGGGGACTGGAAAAATGCCGGTCAATTCTTACTACTTTCGTTATCTACTGTATACGGAGAGTTGGTGAAGGCTTAGGTTATGTTACTGAATGTGCCCGGCAGGAAACTATCGTTGGGTGGTTGGAGAGTAGATGGTCATTGCGCAGGTGTGATCCGCCCAACAATTGTATTGTGGTAAACGACGAAGGATTGTGAGTGATAAATGTGCGCAGTTTGCGTAGATAAGGCTTCTGAAATTACTGCTCGTTGTTGTGGCCCGAGACGGCCTAACTCTAGACGTTGACATTTTGTGAACGGTAGTGATGGAATCGGTTCGCCAGACGAGTACATTCAGACTTGAAAATGTGCAAACAGGGCAATTCAGGAACAGAAAGTGAGCTACCAGTGTCGGCGGCTGAACGAATAATACGGTACTTCTTGGTAGAGTGTAAGCGTCACTACTATTATTATCTTTTGTTGTTGGGGTGGATGCGAGTATGCACCACCTGAAAAAAGGCCACTGCAGCCGGAGTAGCAATCGAATGTGCATGCTTTGTGAAACGACAGATAAGAGCAGCAGTAAAGGGAGAGTCAGTGAGGATGACAAAACTCTCACTGGTCGAAGTTTGGCACAATTGTTGTTCCACATTAGTTTATGCGTCCTCTTGACGCCCTCTCCCTTACACTGATCTCATTTTATGCCGTGCACACACCCGTCGTCTTAGGCCTCACGTGCACACACACACACACACACACACACAGCAAGCACACACAATCGCAGGCGCAAATTCAAGGAAGAGCTGTGATTTCAGGCGCGTGCTGCGTGCACAGACACACTGAGAATGCAAGCTGCAAAGGGCTGACAACTACACAGGGAAGACGGCGAGTAACTGCTGCCAACTTGTCGCCTCAGGAGGCACACAGACATACACACACACGCCTACACGAGATCAAACTCAGACAGCTGAGGCCTGTTAAAGCCTGTCGCGCTTCAGTATACCCGCTCTCCTTTGCTACCGTCATTGCCCTGATGAGGTGAGAGGTCGATGGAACGTTCTGACCTGTCATTCAGTCCACCACTCAGCAATCAATGCTCAGGGATGGGAGATGACCTCCGGTTGGGCAGGCAAGACAGGCAGTCAGGAAGATTTCTACCCATAAGCAAACAGCCCCTTGGCGCAGGTCGGATGGCCAACTTAATAGTTCACCAAACACGAGTAGTGCATTGGCACCTTGCAATCCCTTGCGTGTTCTTCCAGCAGAGTGAAAAGTTTTACATTGTATGTGCGCCTGACACACAGGCCTCGGACATAACTCAATGTCAAGAGAAAACGGTCTGCCCAAATCGCGTGACCAGTGGTCAGAAAGAATGGTGTCGCGGGGAACTCACATTGGTACCCCAGATACTTTAACTGACATTCATACTGCTGTTGACACGCACAATAAACGGTGGTCAAATATTTCGGTGGACTCTAGAGCACATGAGAAGGGCAGACGTACTGGCGGTGACGATACTTCAGAAAAAGTTACCGCAGCTTATCAGGCGATCGTAATAACTATGGACAGGCTAGAGTAGGCTGAAACAGTTAAACGTTCAAGCATTCTAGCATGGAACCATACGAATATGCAAAGGTGTCGATTAATAGAAACGGCTTCGCAAGGACGAGCAATTTTCGTCCGCGCATTCGGAACCCGGCTTCCCAAGTCCGAGACCCGACACTCATCGAACACAAGGCCAACTGGAGTCTGAGTATCTGGCATTCGCAGCCCTTAAGATTGAGGTTCAGGCCACAATGGCTTCTTAGTTTGGCTTTTATTGCATTCCCTTCTATTTCAGGCCCGAGATTCCCCACTAAGTATGCCCTGGTACATATAATAGCAGGAGCCAGGTCGCGAGGGACACGCGTGGATAGGTTTAGCTTTGTCAGTCACCGAAGCCGAGTCAACCTGTAGTCGTCTTAAAGTTGTCCTGCCATCGAAACAATGTGGATGAGGAGGAGATGCTAAGCACGTCTACTTCCCTATACATGCATGCACTTGTGAGTGATCGCTGCTGGACCCACCTTATGTGACGGTGGTGGATGTTATCGCCTGCGACGGCCGAACTGTCCCGCATGCGTGAGTGTGTGTATGCATATCAAAAGGTCTGAAAGCGTTTGCTATACCAGTATCAGCAAACCATGGTCCTCACAGCCTGGTACGCGCTGGCAGTTCCCAGCCACCTGGGTCCCTGCCGGTGGATGCGTTTGCGCTCCCGCTGGGTATACAGGTGGTTGGCATGGCCGCCTAGTCATCCTCGTCCTTCTGACTCCTTATCGGGTGTTGTTGTTATTAATGAAAAATCGTGGTCAAGTGTATGCTGTGGACCAGGGGATGTTGTGGCACGCGTAGGTGCGCCCTCCGCCTCCGGTCTTCTTAACTATGGCTTGACACCGGGTCCAGGTGGGGAGTGGGGAGGAGGGAGCGAGGTAGTTGCTGCGAAAGTCTGCATTCACTATAAACTAAATCACGCGTAAGTCACTATCCCTGTTCTCACCTTGCTGTGGAGCACACGGTGGACATCGTCGGTAACGACGGTCGAGCTGTCGTGCGTACGCGTAGGTCGTAGGGGTGTCAAGCTGTGGGTCTACGTGACGGTCGTAGTAGGTCTCGCACTTGCTTGCAGATGTAGACAACGCCTAGCGCCCATTACCTGGCACCAACTCTCACATGTGGCTCCACGAAGCTAGGCTCTGTCTAGCGGCCACACTCCGATAACTGCTACGACCGGCGGGCTGAGCCAGGTGTTCGGCAGCAGCCTGGGACAACTGAGCGGCCCTCTTTAGGGAGAGCACTGCTCACCCCGCACGGGGGAAGGGACTAGAAAAGGTGCCCTAAACGAATGCTGAGATCCACGCCCTCTGCAGGCCGACCGTGGCCGCAGACGCAAGCCTCACGGCCGAAAAACCAAAACAGGAACAACACACTCTCTCTTCTCTCTATTCCCTCCCCCGCCGCCCCACCCGCCAGACTGGTAGGATGAGTCCGCCCACTCTGGCAGCCTGGAACGTTCGTTCACTTTTTGGACAATCCCAGGAGCAATCAACTGGAAAGGAGTGCGGCGCTGCACTCAGTGAGGCCCGGTACTCCGAATAAGGCCAACCGGAGGAGGTGAGTGCCGGCTACACCTTCTTCTGGAGCGGTAGCCCCAGGGCAGAGCGATGAGACGCGGGTGTCGGCTTTGCCATCCGGAACGACATCGTGGGACGACTGTCCTGTCTGTCGCAGGGTATCAACGATCGCCTGATAAGCCCCCGCCTGCCTCTCCAGGGAGGCGAATAGCGCCACCATCGCCAGTGTCTACGCCCTCTCCCTGATGACCAGCCCTGATGAGTCGAAGAACAAATTGTACGAGGACATGCATGCCCTCCGGACGTCTGTGCAGAAGGCGGAAAAGTTGATTGTCCTTGGTGACCTCAACGAACGCGTGGACACAGACCATGCTGCCTGGAGAGGAGTGCTGGATTCCCATGGTCTCAACGGCTCCAATGACGATGGCCTGCTCCTCCTACGAACCTGCGCAGAACACCAGCTCATCCTGGCTAACACCTACGTCCGCCACCCGTTGCGATATAAGGCCACCTGGATGCACCTTTGGCCGCGACACTGGCACCTGCTGGACTATGTCCTCGTCCGAAGGCGAGAACAGCGGAACGGGCTGGTGACAAAGGCGATTCCGGGTGTCTACGGGTGGACCGACCATCCAGGATGAGGATTCGCCGACAACCTCACAGGAGGTCTCAAGGTAAGCGATCACCTGGTAGGCTGAATGTTGCTTTGCTGTCTTTGCCTGTTCACCATCTCCATTTCAGCAATGAACTAGGTCAAAGGCTAGCCAGTCTTCAAGTCGCCGCCGCCGCCGTTAACGAGAACGCCTCCGTGGAGAACTGATAGTGTCAACTGCGGGACACGGTCCAATCGACGGTCCTGGCTGTCCTCGGTCGCGCACGTCGCCAACACCAGCAACCTGCTCGCCGAGAAGAACAGCCTGCACAAAGCCTACGTCACCCGTCCCACCGACGACAAGGCAGCCTTCTACTGTAATCGTCGCCTTGTGCAACAGCGGCTGCGGGAGATGCAGGATGTTTGGACTGCTCGCAAGGCCAAGGAGATCCAAGGTTACGCGGTTCGCAATGAATGGAAGGTTTTCTTCTTCGCGATCAAAACTGCTTACGGTTCGCCAACCAAAGCAACTGCTCCTCTTCTCAGCGCTGACGGCAATACCCTACTTACCGATAAGATACAAATTCTTCAGCGATGGGCCGAGCACTTCAGAAACGTCCTCAACAGCCTCTCCAGCATCTCCGACGCCGTCATCGCCCGTGTGCCTTAAGTGGAGACCAACGCCGAACTCGACCCCCCGCCCTCTCTCCCCGAAACCAGCCGGACCGTGCAGCAGCTCTCCAGAGGGAAAGCGCCCGGATCGGATGCGATCCCTGCTGAGGTCTACAAGCACGGTGGCCTCCAACTCATGATAATCTGACGGCGCTCTTCCAGGAGATGTGGCATCAAGAAGACGTCCAGCAGGATTTCAAGTACGCCACAATAGTGCATCTATGCAAGCGGGAGGGAAACCGCCAGCTCTGCGACAACCAATGAGTCATCTCCTTGCTAAACATCGCCGGGAAGATCTTCGTTCGAATTCTCCTCAACCGCCTGAATCACCATCTGGAGCAGGATCTCCTGCAGGAAAACCAGTGTGGCTTCCGCCGTCATCGTGGAACCACCGATATGATCGCCGTCGCCCGTCAACTGCAAGAGCGGTGCCAGGAGATGCGGACCCGCCTCTAATCTACCTTCGTGGATCTGAGGAGAGTCTTCGACATGGTGAATCGCAAAGGACTGTGGAAAATCATTCAGAAATTCGGCTGTCCCGAACGATTCGCCCAGATGGTGCGTCAGCTCCACGATGGCATGATGGCACGAGTCACAGACAATGGGGCTGTTTGAGAGGCATTCGCAGTGACCAAAGGAGTGAAGCAAGGCTGTGCCCTCGCGTCTACCCTCTTCAGTCTCATGTTCTCTACCATACCGATGGACGTCTACCGTGACGAACGCCATGGGATCCACGCCGGATACAGGACGGACGGCCAACTCCTCAACCACCGGCGGATGCGCTTCTAGTCGCATGTATCCATAACGGCCGTTTAAACTTCTCTTCCCCAACGACTGAGCCCTCGACGCCACCTCGGAAGGGGGCATGCAAAGGAGTATGGACCTCTTCGCCGCCGTCTGCGACCAATTCGGCCTAATCATCAACACGGAGAAGACGGAGGTTATGCATCAACCGCTACCCGACGTTGCCTACGTCGCACCCAAAACAACATGAACGGCACCCAACTGCAAGCCGTGGGCAACTTCACCTACCTGGGCAGTACCCTCTCCCATTGCACCAAAGTCGACGATGAAGGGGCCCGCCAGACCTCCAAAGCCAGCCAAACTTTCGGCCGTCTGCAAAGCACAGTCTGGAATCGCCACGGTTTCCACCTCAATACCAAACTGAGGATGTATAAGGCGGTCATCCTACCAACTTTGCTGTATGGAGCAGGGACCTGAACGGTGTATAAGAAGCAGGCACGCGGACTCAGCCACTTTCACATCAGTTGTCTTCGTAGAATACTGAAGCTGAGGTGGCAGGACAGGACCCCATACACGGACGTACTGGAGCGAACGGGAATCCTCAGTATCCACGCTATGTTGAGACAACAACAACTACGCTGGAGCGGTCATCTCGTATAGATGGACGACGAGGGCTACCCGAACGACTCTTTTACAGAGATGTCACCACGGGTTTCTGCCAACAAGGAGGCCCAGTCCGTAGCTACAAGGACACCGTGAAGACTTCCCTGAAGCGTCTGCAGATCAACCCGGCCAATTGGGAAGATCTCGCCCGAGACCGACCGACCTGGAGTAAGACGGTGAGGACGGGCGCAGGGATCTACGAAGCCCACCGCATCACCGTCGCCAAAGCTAAACACGAGGCTTGCAAATCCCAACTCCGCCCACCTCGCAACGCCAACGCTCAACCAGCCCCGACCTGCCCACGCTGCCAGCGAACGTTCCGCGCAGTGAACAACACAATCTTGAACTTGTACTTAGCACAGCTGTAATCATGTCTGATCTGGCTGGCCTCGATGCCACGTATTGCAGCCCTCCACGCGTGACGATCTGTGGCATCAGATCTGGACAGCAAGACCCATTCTCTTCTCAGCGACGGAGACCGAATACAGAAGATCCAAGAGCCGCATTCCACTCTCCCCTCACGTACAAGCAGGTACCATTTATGAGAAGGCCAAAAGGCCGTTGTCAATAGCAAGGCGTGGTAAGGCGGTGTCAGTGAAGGGGTGAGAAATGGGTGCGTCTAATGGAAGCTCCCGAAATCAAACTGCCGAGCCCTGCTTGAGTCCAGTTAAATAGGGTGCGCAACCCGCGGCCAATGTGAATGATATCCACAAATAACTTAATTCTTATCAAAAATGTACGGGAAGACTGTCTTATCAAATCACAGCCAGGTAAATCTACTCGTTACTTTCCCCTAAGGAGCAGGTAATACTGTAAGCGTTTCCCGCCGGACTCTGTCGGTGGACGACCAGGTTAATCTCGCGCGTTATGTTCCACTGAGTGGATGCAGGTCACTAAACCCGCGTCGATGCGACTTTTGAGCTCCTTATGAGGTGACAAAAGGCCGATCACGGTACTAACACCAGTGCGCAGAGGGTCTCCAAGTGTCTAGACAGCCCTCTTGCATGCTCACAAAAGGTATTGATCCGAGCCCCACAAGTGGCATGGCTAAAATCGACTCCGACTCTCTCGGTCACTTGCTCTAGCTGTTCGAACCCTAACAAATTTACTAATATTATTGTGTTAGAATGGGGTGACCTCACTATGACATAGGGTAAGCAAAAATGGTCTTGGAGCGCACGTCTACCACCCCTTGACTTTTCCATCAACTAATTGGTTAACACACCATAGGAAGGTAGAAAATCGTCGATTGACACACGCTTTGACATCAAAATTTTCGGGCAGAAACCAGTTCGCTTATGAGGCTGTTACGTGCCCAAATGCCGTCTCGTTTTCTTAACAACTGGATGTCAACAGAGCATCAGGTACATAAATTTCAGGAGGGTTCGGTAATACTGAGGCGCAACCGGGTATCTGGAATCTTCTCCTTTTGAGTTCAGTCTTGGTCTCAAGCGTTTCGCGAGGACTCGAATATCAAACACGTTTTCAATCAAGTTCCGCTCAGATCTCAGCGATAACCACCATAGGGCTATCCACACATTTCCGGCGATGATGCCAGTTAATGTCGTCGTGTCATTTTGTAATGTAGATCTGTGACCGTCTGACTGCGTGCGTACCCTCAATATATTCCCGTAGGCTATTGAGTTCGAGACATGAAATTTACATGTTTGTATTTGTACCAGATAGCGTCAATACCGTTCAGACAGACTCGAGAATTTACGGCATCATGTATCGGTGCAGGTTATGCTCTACGTGCAAAGACCAGGCCCCAGCAATCGTACTTCAACTGAACACAGAAGACCATCGGATCGGCACGCTCTCCAAGTCTACTTTACACACTGTCCACTTCTTCAGAAGACCAACACGTTGCTGGCGCCAACTGAAACAAGGATTTGGAGAGATGGCGTGGTAGGTGAGCTCCCTTTGGAATCTACAGGCAGCAAGACCGAGTGCTCTGAGATAGCAGCCTTTTACTCGGTGAAGTTATGCCTTTGAGATATAGTCTTGAGCTGAATCCGCATTATTTCCCTCATGCAATAATTGTCAAAGGCGTCGATAGTCGCCAAGTCAGCAGCGCATCCTGACCAAACTTTGCAACCGTAAGGCAGGAAGACTTCGACTTTGTTCTATGCACTGTGACCATTGTCTTCTGTTGGAACTCGCCCCGAATCGCAGACGCTTCCAGAGGCAACAGAACACGCTCTGCAAGAGTTGAACGTGGAGACCTGTTTTCTGGAGCCAGCCGGTCGGTAGCATAAAGGAACTGAGATTTAAAAATTCGATTCCGTGGCGCCCCTGGCGTCCAAGTCAGGAGGTGAACAGCCACCCAGCAGAACCTTGGTTTTTCCAGCGCTCAGTCTTAGACCGTTTTCAAAGGCATTGTAACCAGTGTTCATTGCGTGAAAAACACAAACACAAAGTCCAAGAACAAACAAGCACGAAGAGCAAGGTTTGATGGAGGTGTTAAATGATAACCAAACCGTACCCCCAACCCATCCTTGTCACCTGTGGTTGTGTCATGCATTTAGACGTTTCAAGTTAAGTGTCAACAGATAGTAGCAAATGCTGCGCTTTCTGCCTTTCAAATTAGCCCCTCTGTAGGCGAAAGGTAAGTCGGAATGGTTCCATAGCCTTTCTCCCTCCCTCTGATCATGCACTAACCAAAGTAGACATAAAGACAGCATTCGAGTTGGACGTATACTGAGGGTGAGAGCAGACACAGACAAAAACTGAGACCTTACAAAGGCTGAGATCGGCTGAGGAAATTCAACAATAGTGATTTCAACCCTTAGTAAGTAGGTCAAGGCAGTCTGGAAAACCAGTACTTGGAGTGAAAGGAGTTGGCGTCAGTGTGCATTCTTAACGGACGTCTCAGACGACTATCAGCCTAGTCCACGGTGATCGCCCATCTAAAGCTCCCAGAAATTATCCTTCTAAGGGCTGGACGGGGACTTAAGACCCTAGGAAACCGGTCCTGATGCTCAGTCGATAATAATAATAATAATAATAACAAAAATTAGCCAGGATTTCAAAGACCGAAGTGCTGATTGCAAACGTGCTATTCTGCTGGCGGAGATATTTTGCAGGTGGGGCAAAAATCAGACCATAAAGGAAAATGCAAAAATGGTGCTCAAAGAAACTAAATAGGTTATCGTGACGCAAGTCGAAGTGAAAGTGGGGCAACTTACGCCTCAGCTATATCGACAGGGCCCGTGCTCATGCGATCGGTCTGACGACTAGTACGGTTGCGATCGTGCGTCGGATGGCGCAATACACCGGCGCTCTGTAGGCCCTGGCTGCGATTTGTCTCAAAGAGACCGGAGGCGGGGAACGGCGAAGGCCTAAAGTTGACTCTTGGCTGAACTGGTTCGCCGCCTGCGGCTTCAGCGGCAGCCGCGTTAACACTCTTGATATCCAGTTGCTGGGGTAAAATAGGCCGAATCTCAACTCGTTTTCCTCCCCGTTTCAGAGTTGGGGGGGCCACGGTCGGTGGCGGCAACGGGGCGGGTTCGGTTGAGGTTGTATCGGGGGGATTAGAAGGTTTCTGCTCGGTTTCCTCTTCGTTGTGTCCGTCCTTTCCGACGGTCGTGCAATCCCCCGACAGGGTCCGGTCACTGGGCGCGTTTGCGTCGACGGCTGACATGACGAAAGCAAAGTCACTCCCTTTTCGTCTTCTCCTCCCAGAAATTCAGTTGTCCAGTCTTCTGTTCACCTGACAAGATGAAACACACCGTAGTGTTACTGAGTAGGTTAGCATTTGAGAAGGCGATAAACACCGGCGAGAACAGGCAGCTTGAATTCAGAGTGCTGAGCTCTAAGTTGCAAGCACGTGCGGCGAAATATAGGAGAGAGAGAGAGAGAGGGAGAGGGGGGGGGGAGAGGAGAGAAAATCGAAGTAGTCGACAGCAACTTGGTAGTCAAAAGACGAAGTTGAGGACCGACACGTGTGCGGTACGCGTAGAGGCGGCCTCGGCATTGTCAGCCACTACGTTCCGGCCATCTCTAGTAACTCAGACTTTGTCCCGCTAGTGGGTCTGGGACTAGAGGGAAGATGATGATGCACAAGTCTCCCCTAAACAGACATCACCATAATTTCCTGTTGGTGCGCACTGCTTCAGTTCGCTCGAGTCTGCCATCGACCAACCGCAATAGAAGCGACCATTCTTGCTGCGGCCAACATGCACGAGAAGGTCGGTCGAATCAACCAAAACAAATGCAAATGCAGCACAATTGGGATGGAAGTGGCAGAGCCTGGTAAATGCTGGGCAAGTATTGTTTGCCCAGCGCTTTTGACGAATGCATTTATGCTCAGGCTGGTCCACATATTTAGTCGTCGCACGGACGTTTCCGGTTATATGCGTGTAAATTAAAGGCGCCCAGCATTCATGCGCCATGCATACAATGCGGTTCACCAACAATGATAAGGACGGGTGAACTATCACATGGAAGCGTGCGCGCTCATACTGCATGCGACTAGCGGTGTTACGCCACGCCAGACGTTGTGTCCGTATCATCCACAAGCGGCTCGACTCGGACAGGCCAATGATGTATGGGGAGGGGGGGATAAGCGAATGAGATCGGTTTGGCTGGGACTTGGCGCTTCATCCCCCACCATAAACAACAATACCACCACGACATAACAAAACTCGTAGTTCTGGCAGTTGTCAACTGAAGAGATAACTCGGTTCTACTCAAGACTGAGGACCAGACTGCAATGACCCCTTATGTGTCAGCTATGGTATCCTCCATTAAATGGCACATTTGGAGTTAGGAGCCAGGTCATGCGTGGCACGCACAGACTGGTTCAGTTTGGCCTTGACACCTGCGCCAAGCTCTGGTCGACTTGACTTCACCTTACCATCGGAACTCGGCGATTATAGAAAGCGGGAGTGAAGCAGGTGCAGTGTAGATCCACCTAACTGCCACTGCGCTGGAACCGAGACAACGGTTTTTCTCACTGCCTTTATGAACCAAATACAACATGTTAAGATTTGGGCTCCTAAAACGGGCTACGCCGCTGTACTAAACCTAACACGGAGTCAAACAGTCCTGTAGGAGGCGTTTGACGGGTGTTTTTGCCATCGCAGTTAGTGATCCCGATCCCTAGCCAACCCCTGCCCCAACGTACCCTTATTGTGATTGCACATTCACTTCACGCATCGGCCTAGTCGGTCACTTGTGAATCCATCGCACTGCGACCGGGGCGCCAGCACCAGGAGTCCCCACATAAACTCACCACATCCGCCTCCACTGCCAGCAATGTTCACGCACATTCACTCACTGCATGAACCTATTCAGCCGCATGCGCATTCAAAACAGTGGAATTCACCACAATATTGACACACCAAGCATACTTTGCACGACCAACAACTCTTCTATCGCCAGTCCTACCAAATCCCACCCGCCGGCGCAACCACTACTAGCAGCACAACAACCCCAGCGACTCAGCATCTCCCAAACTACCCTGCTCACACTGCCCCCGTGCATTCATGCCACACGTCGGCCTGGTGGGTCGCATGCGAATCCATCGTACAGACTGGCATTCTAGTGCCCAGGCACCAACACACACCCGCCGTAATCGCCTCAATTGCCTGTATTTCTCTCCCACATTCAATCATCGTCTGGAGTTACTCGGTCACATGCGAATTCACCAAAATTGCGGTAAGTCACCGCAGATTAGACCACATCACCACGTATTCCCGCATCAACACATGCATCAACACAGACGCCTCTCACGTAAGTGGGAAATGTGCTCTTCGGCTGCTTTCTCCATGCGACTCTTCTGCTACATTTGAGATCCGAGTGGCTTACCACCATGTGTGTGAAATCCTAATGTGTGCATATGGAAAGCTAGGTCGTGCGTGTGGCGCGCGCAGGCCAGCTATTCTCAGTTCTGTCAGCCATCTCTCGCAATCTCAGCATCAGTTGGTTGGCCGGCCTGGACGGTCGACTGGTGCAAGGGATGTGGCAGAACTAGTTAGGTCGATTTGCGGGGCAGAATTCCCCACCATACACAATCTGACGCGCTTGAGACTGCCACGGTGACCTAAAAGTCGTGGCTTGGAAGGTTGCCAACTGATGACTTCACTCAGAGCACGCAGTCAGTCCATTTGTGTGACTTGGGTTGTGCGGCCGACTGGTGGACTGAGAGTCACACTGCGATGACTCCTTCTTAATGGCACTCACACATTTGAATCCCAGCCGCCCACCCCCTTCTTGTGTAATCCTGGTGTGTGCGTTTTGGGAGCCAGGTCACGTATGTAGCGCACGGACGGGTTATTTAGCACTGTCAACCACTGCGTCCACTCCCTCCATCAGACAACAAACCGGCTTGGACAGCGGACTGGTGTCTGAGAGTGGAGAGAATTAATTCTACGGTCTCAGCACATATTCCTCACTACAAACTGTCTGACGTGCTTGAATCTATCACGGTACGCTAAATTCTAAAGCTTGGAAGGCTGGTAACTGACGGGATAACTCGGACCTCGAAATCGGCCCAGTGTGATTTTGTATGGAGTGGCCGACTGGTGAATTTAGAGTCAGGCTGTAATTGCTCCTTTTTAAAGGGGTCTCTATACCACTCCCACTCAATGGGATCCGAGCCGATGTGGTGGCATGCTCAGATGTGGACTTTCGTCATGCCAGCCAACCGCGCCCTCTCGCGCATCTGGTTTTTTTTAACTCTGCCGTGACATCGGGCTCAGATGTGAGAATAGGAGAGAGTGCGGTAGGCGCTGAGCAAGTCTGCTATCACTGTAAACGAATTCACGCGCGAGTCGCCGTCCCTGCTCCCACACTGTCGTGGAGCACACGGTGGGCATCGTCGGAAACCACCTTGAAACTTCCATAATAAGTGTGGCGAGCCGTAATATACAACAAGGAGCTAGGAGTCACATGGGATGCCGAAAAGTAGCCGGATATCAGCTCTTTTCTGGACCGAGAGTCAAAAGGCAATAGCTCTTCGCCAGTATAGCCTTTATGGAAGCCCACATTGATGGCATATTAAGGTTTGTGAAGCCCGACTTGTGTGCGTGTTTGGACCAGAAAGCGTAGAGTACGCACAGACGAGGACAAATGTCCGGTCAGCCAATGAGACAGGCCCATATTTAGTCATATTGTTAGTCGTGCAATTCGACGATGATTGGTATGGAAGATATGGTAATGTGAATGCTGCGCGAGTCACCTATAGTTTTTTCAATAACGTATAAGCCACCATTCCTCTTCCTGAAATGGTGGCGAGCATTTTTGCTCACGACAGACGTCTAAAAACGTGGCCAGATGTGTGTATCTTTGGGAAATGTTCCGAGGCATCGAAGGCTACTTACAGCCGTCACGCTCGTGTCCTGTTAAAGGGACCGGAGGGCGGTTGCTGGGAGGATGAGAGTGCCACAGTGCAAGTCTTCCTCACAGTACTCCAATTCATATTTTAATTACCAATTCCCAAGTTATGACGGTCTTTACTCGATGCGCATTGGTGTGGTAACCAGCCAGAGTCAAGTAGATTACTTGGTTAGGTGACAGCTTTTCCCAATACCCATCCAAAATAACTGAGTATCCCTCATTGTCCTCGCCCGACAGGCACGGCTCATCAGTGGCCCCACAAAGCAGCAACAAGCACAAGTGCACCCACTCTTGAGTTAAATTAGATGAAGACAACTATCTCAGTCGTTCATGTGACTGCCTTCATGGATACCTGTATCTCAGCTTGTGAAGTCTGATTCGGATGGAAAGGCCAATGAGCAACATGTCACGGTTGGCGCAGATTAGGTCAAAACAGCAAAGAGTGCTAGGTAACCTCAATCTTGTCGCCACTTAATTTTGCTAACTAAATTCAGTAGGGGTAATAAGATAAGCAGATGGGATGCAGAGAAGTCAGGGGCGACGCCGCGTGACTCTTTGTTACCAAAATAACATCCCCGCAGAGGCAACTTCACCAAATATGATAGTCGTCATCGATGAAATACCGCGAACATGTCGGCGAATTGATATGGATTCTGTGGTGGCCGGCGTTGTGCATTGAACAAGCAATCCCCTGTCTATGTGCAGTCCTTCACATGTATTCATACGAGGGTGTTTGGTAGTAAATCTAACGAATGGCTGGGTTGTCGCACCAATTTTACTGGCCGATATTCCGAATTTTAACCGACTAGTTCCGCAACAGAGATGCCATTATGGAATTACAGAGAGTGCAATGACAGGACGGTAAACATGAATTATGCCTGAGGAAATGGCCCGATCTGCGCGGTTTCCACACATGCGAAAGCCGATACAGAGTGCAAATTTGGTAGCGCCTGAGAAGCCCGGTAAGCAGCTCTATTTTAAACAGTTAAAAAGATGTCATATATTAACCGGTACGGACTGCGTCTTACGGTGGTGAGCCAAGAAAGGCCGAGATTTCCCTATCAGCCTCTCCTCCGCGCAGATTCGCAAAAATAAATCACATGAACTTTGTTCAGTGGGACAGCTCATCCCTGTAGACCCCTTAAAAGGAAGCCCAGTCTCAGGAGTCCGATGCATAGTGCTCCTGAGAGACTCGCCTTTAACCTAAATCGCAGAACACCGGTTTCTTTTTAGGTCTTCGGAAATCCTGCTGTAGAAAACAAAGGCAAAAGTGGTGTCGACATGGCACTGATACCCAGAGTACAGGGAAGTTCCCTTGGACGGAGCTCAAGGTGCGAAGAATTTCGCACAGTGCGCTTAGGCAGCCATAACAGTTTTAGTGGAGTGCGAGTTGGTAAATGCTCTCTGCATGACGGGAAGGCAGCTAAGTTGCATTAACGGGCTTCTTCCGGCAAGTGAGAGGATGATGTTCTGACAACGGTCGTTGCGTTCAGGGCACAAAGTCGTTCTCTAATCAAAGCGCATTTAAAGAGTAAAACCGAAAATCGAATCAACAAAAAGCTAGCGACACTGCGCTAACCCCACTAAAGCCTTCGGAATCACCACTGAATAAGTTGAAATGTCTACGTGAAGTAGATGATGCCTCTATCTGAACAGACCTGCTGGAAATCACTTATGATTGCGCCAAAATATCAGAATTCGTCCCTTTCATTCAGTATCTCGATACAAATTATACAACCCAACAGGAGAGAAACCAACCAACTGCGGTCTCCTCACTCACCAAATCAAATAAATCGGTCGTGCGCTAAACCGGTATTTGAACTCCATGTCTCAAGCTGTCTTTGGTTTTATTGTGGACACGTGTGTAGGGAACGAGAACAACCCTTACAGGGTTTCCAAGACCATGGTCAAGATGGGACTGTTATTACCGATCGGATGAGAATTATCCTGTCAAAACATTGTTTGATGAAAGATGGAGATAGTTGGAACGAATGGACGTTGACAGCCGTTGCTTGCGAGTTATAGAAGTAGATGCGTAAGTTACAAACAACGTGGATTAGTTCAGCGAGATACAAGTGTGGTGCGGTGAAGCGCGGGATCGCATGTGGTTTCTAACCAGACTTCCGCTGTGTGGAATCTACGGGGTAAACATCCGGTCAAATACGGCAAATACACGTGTTTGTGGCAGATAATAAGGTTGTGAAGACCACGCTGGAAAGTGTGTTGCAAAATAATGTTAGAATTCGAGATATTCGAGTTTAAATTTTATCTTTCCGAAAAACATCAACGACTCGCATAAATGTTAATTAAAAATTTCGGCAGCAAAATCAGCAGAAAGAACTTTCCACTAGACTGTACACGTGAAATGCAATTCAGAACACATAATCTAAATCCGGAATCTTTGTTGTTGGACGACTTTGGTTCTTACCTCCACGGGCTCACAACTACGCGTGGTGATGGTTGCCTTTTATGCATCAGATCTCCCTCAAAGCCCTTTCTATGTGATCTGAATGCCCTGACTTTCTTACTCCCATTCATCATTAGAAGGGATGTACAATCCCGTGCGCTTTTGAAATCACTTTCGGAATCTACTTTTGACGTCAAAATGACCACTAGAGAGTTAACCCTTCCCATTCAAACTGGCTTTCAAGTTTATGTCCCCTTAGGTCCCAGCGTTTTCAAGATATTAAATGTTTTAATCAAGCTTAGTTGGCCCACTCAACAGCAATGAGAAATCACATTCTAGGTCAAATCCTTGCCAATGACATCACCTTCATTTTGGTGATCTGCAACGGACCCTTTTTGAAAGTGACTGCGTACTATCGATAATTACCATGGCAGTGCCAGGTTTATCACATGGTCCAGCTGCTTACAGAGTTCTGGTTTCCTCCTCCGTATTGCAGCGGCCTCTGCAAAGCGCAAGAGACGCCCGGTCGTCGCCCGAAACAGGACCTTGAATGCAAAAATTGGGTCCACGGTATGGCCCGTGTCCATTAGGTGCTTTGTGATTCAGCTCCTGGGTACCTTATTTTCCGCCTTAAGCAGCCACTTCGGCATGTGTTCAGCTGACCGAGCAGCCAATTGCCTTTGCGTGCGCCCGATGTACTTGCATCCGCAACTACATGTAAACTCATAAATACAGTTTGATGTGGCGTGCATAGGCAAAATGTCTTTAGCTGGGCTAACTGGGATGGCGGTCGTGGTGCTTATGAACAACATACGGTGGGCCATACGGTGGACCCAATTGTTGCATTCAAGGTCCTGTTTCGGGTGACGACCGGGCGTCTCTTGCACTGTGTACTATATTACTGCTGCCTGTCGTTTATCATTTCAAAAAGGGTTAGTACAGTTCGAATCCACTTCTAGTTCAAACTCGTACACATCGACTTAATTCATAACTATGTTGGGTCAACAGATTGCTATGGCTCTCCGCAGCATTTCATTGGGACTTAATAGCGCCAAAAGCACGTCTAATTCCTCCGTCTCTGCATGCGTTCTGCTCCAGGAATCATAAAATGGTGGCTTCTGAGTGAAGGAAACATGCGATATTCGGCCCCGTGGACATCCGCCACGAGGAAGCCACGTGCTCTATAATCATATAATGAGATCGACAGGTCAACAGTAACTAGCTCACAGGCGCCCACATCACCTTTGCGGAGAAATGTGAGCGCAGTCCTTGGACCGACTCCGTTTCAGGGACTGCAATTATAACCACGTTACTGCACAGAATACAAGTTTACTGCCGCTGTCTTCCTCCTCTAAATGGGACCTGCCCTGATAATAATCGGGCAGGCACAACCAAGCCACCCACAAATTCCCTTCAGGTCTAAACGAAGGCATTTTTGTATCACAGTTAAATCCTAAACCTTCACTTATTTCTAACCAGCTAAATAAGTTTAGAAGGCGGCTGCAGGACATAACAACCAGGCCTCTTATCCATCTATCAAAGAATCAGAAATAATCCGATATAACAGTGGCAGCGAGACAAAGTTGTGAGTTAAAATACACCACTGCCATAATGGCAGGCAGTGGAAAGGATATTTCCCGATTCTATGATGACATACACCACTGAGGGCTACCTTGATTGACACCCAAATCGGCATGTTTCTTAAATAATCAGCATACTTGGGCTAGGACTTTTTTGATAACCCGCTCTATTGGTCTATAGCATATTGCGAAAAACCAATCTATCGAGGGTATGCAGTCACCCGAGGCTAGATTGTTTTCGGAGTGTTTCCGAGGACTGCACATAAATATGCATTGGGGAAACAGCTCACACTTAGCATTCAATGAGAAATCAACTTTCTTAAATATTTCCACAAGGATTATACGTCACGATCTCTGCTGCGGCATGGACAGTTGAGCCTATTAGACTTTTCCCACGGCCTAAAGCGCCAATGGTGTGTACAGGCTCGGTTTCTTGGTTATGAATGCCTCCTAATGCCTCCAAGGACTACGCTTGTGAACATTATTTGCAGAGTGACTTAAACGGAGTGCAACGCATCCGAAAAATTCTGGCCTAAGTGCTGAAATAATCCATAAATAAGGAGAAAACTTGACGGTAGCTTGTGGACATTGCTTCAATGGCAAAAGATGGAGGGAGTGGTGACTGTCAGGTCAGCGGCTGAGCCAGTTTGCAGGAAGGCTTCGAGACCTGATTCCGTACATAGACGCATTCCCAGATTTACATCTAGTTCAGGAGTTATGGCAGCTTTATACTATGGACGTGGATGTTAAGCACGTGGACTTGACGTGGCCATAGCTAAGCGCTTGCTACTTTACGCATTTTTATTAAACTGTCCTGATTTCCTAAGCAATTCGCCCTGACTCCATCAGCGTGCGTCGGACGTGCATACAGTCCCAGACTCCTATGGGTTCTGGCCCCAGATTTCATATATGTGCAAACAATAACAAAAAATCACTTTCGCCATAAAGGAAATTTAGCATCTTTAGATCATTCGTCTTTGAAGCTACTCATGGCTTAACTGGTAAAGGAACATTTCATGTACTTTTGCCTATATCTAACCTCCTATCCTGCAGCAAAAGAAACCCAATCTCCAACGCGGGGTATAACAAATAGAAATCGTTAAGCGAAAATCACCTGAGGAGACGACGTCTTAACCTGGTTGAAAATATAGCGTGGAACTCAGGAGAATGCGATGCAGACCAGTCGTGGAACAAGTACGATGAAATCGAATTAGTTACTACAGTTTAATAAAGCACCGTCCCCGGGTCGTGCTGAGGGAAGGAAAATTTGCATCTACGTTTGCGACCAATGCGACACAAGCGACAAAATAGGAAGAACTCACTGTGCGCCTAAGGGCTAGGACACAGCTGACAGTCATTCTAAACCTGTTCAAGGTTGAGTCTTCCGTAGGTTTCGCAAAGTTTAAGTCAAGGCACGAAGCTTATTTGAACACCCAAAAGGGACACGTCAAGTTAAAGCATTTCTACCAAATCGGAGAGAGTATGCAACCGAATCACATAGGAGTAGTATGAAGCATAAATCAGGACGATGCTTAAGGGCTGTGCGCATCGGAAAGTAAATCCACATTGAAAAAAAAACGTGCAAAAAAATAAACCGGAGTGTGAAAAATGTCTAAGGAGCACACATCAGAATGGTGATGAAAGAAATGCAGAAAATCAAAACAACAGGAAAAACAAGCGAGCACTGAACCTTGGCAACCTGACCGAAGACATAATCATTTTTCAAAAACCTCAGGAAGTTTCCGACAAATCCCCCTGTAGGAATAATATGCGATGCTGGCCTTGGACCAGCCTAAACAAAATATCTGTAGGAGAATGATAAATGGCACTCAATTATAATTCTTAAAGCGGGAAGGACTTCCGGATAGAAATCACGGATTTCCTGAATTGCTAAAGTTTTAGGGTTTCAACTACGGTTTGTAGAACCTCTTGCAACTGGTCTCTAACGTGCTGTGAGAAAATGCACTTCGCGTAATTTACTCGTCCAATCCTGTGTGAGAAAAATGTTGCGGTCTCTGCATTTCCCTGCACAGTGTAAGCCTTTCACTAGTTGCTTGTCTCCGTAAATTTCCAGAACATGGATACCACGGACGAATTATGCAGTCCGTTCAAGCGCTCATCACATCCGATACGACGGAATGAGGGCTTCATAAGTAGCATGTAATTTCTACTCACTGTCGTTTTCAAACGTGAATTAGGTATAAACAATTATTTACGTACGGGCGTAACCACTAGCTTGTTGATGATAAACAAGCAGACTTTTTAGACTTAGAGCAATAACATATTCGGGTATGGAACGTTTTGAACCCTCCGATCGGGTATAGAGGCGTTTTTCTCGATTTCGCTATGGTTTACCTATTGTGTATGCTTATTTTCGTAAAACTGTTATGACAGTTTACCTGGGATTTTCATCAGCATTGTGTCGAATGCTAGTCCTTTTATGGAGCTATGAGGACTAATCATATAATTTTACGATTTTGAAAGAAATAAGTCAGTTTAAGTCAGTTTATTAAGGGAATGAGGCTTTCGCCCTTGCGCTCCCTATTCACATCGATAAACAGAAATAAAGTCATCAATTACATCAGCAACTGCGGAAGGTTAAAAAATTAGCGGTAAGTGTGAGCCAGGCGCAAACTGCCGCCGCTAAAACAATCGTTATTGTATGTACAGTAGTTTCTCAGCAAATGAGCATCTAGTCTACATTTGAAGGAATCGATACTTTCTAACAGTGCAAGTCGTGTTCTGAGTATTTTCTGTACACATTTATGTACGTATCGGGGGTTACTGGCAGAGCGTCCCGTCAGTCTTACTTGCATCGCGTGTAAAATAATGGAACGCATTAAAAAGACACATGATGAAATACCTGGAAAAGAACAAAATATTGTGTGATGCCCAACATGGCTTTCGTCCAGGGCGCTCCTGCCTAACGAGTGTTCATTACTCGCACGAGAAATGGACACGAGCTACCGATAAGGATTTTCCAATGGATGTCATATTTTTCGACTTCAAGAATGCCTTTGACAGTGTTCCGCACAGGCTTCTTTTACAGAAGATCTGGGGTGTAGGAATTCAAGGACGAATGGATAAAGGGATCAGGAGTTTTCTGTCCTCCAGAGTACAAATAATCGTCGTTGGTAACTCTACCTCGGGATGGGCCAAGGTGGAATGTGGTGTCCCACAGGGTTCTGTCTTAGGCCTGATTTATGTTAATGGCTGCATCAATGAAGTAAATGGCGAGGCTCTCATGTCCGCGTATGACATAAAAATATGGAGTGAGGTCAAGCACGATGATGACGCAGAGACGTTGCAGTCCAACATCGACAAACTGTGTGTTTAGTCGAACAGATGGCTTTTGAGGTTTAACGTGTCCAAACGCGTGGTCTTGCACCTAAACACCGGACGATATGCCCCTCCTAAACATCATCACTAAATTAACGGAACGGCATTAGAAACTGTGGAAAGACACAGAGATTTGGGTGTATGGACGACCACAAATTTATCGTCATCAGAACACTGTAAAAAGATAGTCCAGAAGGCAACTAGCACTCTACACTGGATCAGACGTGCATTTAAAATACTTCCTCCCGAATGCTTGGAAAGACTTTGTGGTGCCTTTGTAAGACTCCAGCTGGAGTATGGAATGCCATCAGCTTCACCATGGATGAGGAAAGATATCGACTTACTCGAACAGGTGCAACGCAGAGCGACGATGATAGTCGACGGTCTAAAGCATTTATCTTATCAGGAGAGGCTGAATTTGCTTGGCCTATTCCCTCTCTCTTATAGACAAATAAACTGCAGTCTATTCTGGACGTTCCGGATCGTCCGCGGCCAGGGTTGCTCATTAGGAACGGAGGACTTTTTGAGTTTTCACATACAAGCCAATTACACGGTCATGCCTACAAAGTCCAGAAGGAGCGCCCGCGGTTAGACCGTAGAAGGTTTTCATTCAGCCAGCGGGTTGTCCGACCGTGAAACTCGCTTTCATGCGAGATGTTGACGGCTGACTCAATTTACATGTTTAAAAGAAAACTTGCTCGCGTAATTTTCGACAGAAATCGGCTTTTACAGCATGACTACCTGTTATGTATGCAAAACAGAAGGCTAATTGGAAATAGGACGTGTACTGAGTACGATAGACAGCACAAGTGAGGAGGCTTGTGGAAACGGCCGGGTATATGGCAAGGGGGACTGTCATAGGCTGATGGGTGGCCAATCAGCATAAAGACAGTGTGAACAGGGGGGCCATGACCTTGATCGTTCGCTTGTCACGCGTTTGTGGCATGATGTCCTGACGGCCCGGGCAGGATACGCTGCACTACCCACAGCCAGTTCTGTAAAACACTGCCATATACAATCCCTCCACGCTAACATTCGGTGACCTGATGCACTTCCTTATCATTGCGATTGTGTTGTAACCCAATCACATTGTAAATGTCTGCAATTTTATTTTGAGTGCGAATCTGCGGAAGCACTGTACATAAATAGGGTCATCAAGGGCTCTGCCTCTAACCCTTCAGATATATACATGCATATATACTGAATGATATTACCGACAAAGACAAGGGAGACTGGAATGGCCATTTCTGGCTTATTAGCCGTCGTCAGCCAGTCATACCCAACCCCTAAGTGGGGCACACTCGAAGCTCGAACTCGCGACCTGTTTTGTTAGAAGTCCACGCCTCTAACCACTGAGCCAGGAGCCCGTTGCCCTGTCGGTTTTGGATCGGGAATATACAATGGTAGTGGGCGCTTATCGATAGTTCTTACGGAACTCACTCTTTCCGTTATGCCTAATGGAAGGTGGGCATCCCAAGAAACATAACTCGTAGAATAACGAGTCCTTAGGGAAGAGTGAACAAACTTTCTTTTGTACATTTTCGAGTCTGGTTCCCCAGCTTGTCTTCAGACGCGTAGTAAGTGTGAAGAAACAGTCAAAATTTAAACATGCCCAAAAAATCGATATTGCTCTGTCATGGCTGAGGATGGGTTGATGCTGTGGGCTGATGTCCCGTCTTGATTGGCTTTTACCTTTTCCCTTTTTCCTAGAGATTTGTGTACATGGCGTCAAGATCGATGCGTCGATTGATGCATGAATCATCAGAGTGAATGGCCTCTAGGAGTTTTCGGCCTTTCTGATCGTTGTAGTATTTAATAGGCATTATTCGTGGCTTGAACCCCATTTATCAACAGAAACTTACAGCCTTTTATGACTTTTTCGTGCGACTGCCGACGGGTTTGCTCTTTAGGTGCAGTTATGGGCACTGGAAGGCCTAAATAACCGTATGAAATCTGTGAATGCTTTCTGCATACCACTAGCACTTCCGCATCCTCTCCAATGACTGGGAAACCCACTTGGAAAAGGGGCTCCTCTGGAAAAGCCAGTGCGGATTCTGAGGGGTCCCGGCACCGGTGATACGATCTTCGCTGCAAACCAACTTTAACAAAATGACAGAAGATGCATACAAGCCTCTACACCACCTTCGTAGATCTGACGAAGCCCTCTGATACAGTGAATTGCTACGAAATCTGGAGGGTCACGCAGAAATTCGCATGACTGGAGTGCTTCACACTTATATTATGCCAACTACAGGGCGAAATCATTACTTTCGCGACGGAAAAAGGAATAGCCCCGAAGAATTCGCAGCGAGCAATGGAGCGAAACGGGATTGTGTACTCGCTCCCACCCTCACCGGCCTCGTGTTTTCCGGCATTATGCCGGATGCCTACCGTGATGGGCGTCTTGGTGTCAACATTCCCTATAGGATCGACGGACAACTCAACGCGCGATGCATGAGAACACGATTAAAGGCACCCCAAAAAGCGTCCATGACAATTTCTTCGTAGATGACCGCATACTCAACACAATAACGGAAGCGGTCATACGAAGAAGCCTATACCTTTTTTCAGTTCAGTTCAGTTTATTGAGGGAAATAGGCGTAAGCCTTTGAGTACCCTATTTGCAACGTAAAAATGTATGGTATACAGATAAATGTTCTGGGCTGAAATAGTTCAAACACGCCCTTACTTGTAGGACAAAATGGGAACGGGTTACAGGGGGTGAGCTCTACTTCTCATCGTTCTTGGTCAAGATTCTTTTTAAAACTTTGTACGAATGGTGACATCACAACATCTGCGGGAAGGGCATTCCATGGTTTGACCACTCGAACAGAGAAGGAGAACTTCCGTGCATCCAACCTTGCATGCTGAGTACGCAGTTTTAACGGGTGACCTCGGAGGTTGGTCGTGGTAGCAAATTCAAAGAATTCCTCGAAGGCCAGACTGCAATCCAACCCCTTTACAATGCGGAAGGCTTGCAAGAGATCTCCGCGAAGTTGCCTGTAACTCAAAAGAAAGAGGTTCAGATTTACTAGGCGAATTGCATAAGGAAAGGAGCTTTGACCCCTAACCATCTTCGAGGCTCTCCTCTGGACCCTTTCGAGGCAGTTTTGATCCTCAACCGCCCACGGCCTCCAAGCTTGTATGCCGTACTCTAAATGCAGCCGGACGAATGTTCCGAATGTCTTTGAGAAGGCATCTTCGTCAAAGTCCATGAACGCACGCTTGATGGAGTACAGTACGGACATTTCGGTTTTTGCCACTCTCGAACAGTGGACGGACGGCTTCAGGGAACTCGTCGTCAGCACATCGAGGTCTTTCTGGGCTTCGACCTCTTGTAGGGCTGCACCGCCCAGAGGGTAGTTTCTTTTGCTCGCGGATCTGGCTGTGTGGCCTAGGCGAAGTATGCTACATTTGGAAACGTTGAACAGCAGGAGCCAACGGTTTAACCACTCCTCCAACCGACTCAGGTGCATCTGCAGTCTGTTTTCGTCGGCAGGACCCCGAATTACACTCCATATCTTCATGTCGTCAGCAAACATTGCTACTTCGCAGTCTAAAGCTCTTGCAGCATCGTCCACGTAGATAAGGAACAAAATGGGTCCCAGTACTGAACCCTGGGGGACACCACTCTCGACCATAGCAGGGTCTGATTTTCCCCGACCGATGCAGACAACCTGGTGTCGACCCACAAGGAAGTTTTCGATCCATTTAAGGAAGTTGCCACTGATCCCTATTTTTTAAGTTTATGTATGAGCCTCTGGTTTGGCACAGTGTCGAACGCCTTCTGGAAGTCGATGAAGGCTATGTGGACCTCGTGCCTGTCGTCCAGAGCTTGGGTCCAACTCTGGAGAGATTGCAGCAAGTTTGTCGTGCAGGACCTTCCCTTCCGGAACCCATGTTGGCATTTCGATAGTAGGCCGTTAACTTCCAGGAATTGCATCAGTTCACTCTTTATGATCCTTTCCATCACTTTGCAGAGAATGCATGTCAAGCTTATGAGCCTGTAATTTGTCGTCGCTGCCCTGTTACCTCCTTTGTGTAGCGGAGTAGTATGCCCCAGCTTCCAATAGATAGGAAGTGTTCCAGTGTCAAATGACGTTTGAAAGAGCATCGGTAAAGGCACAGAAAGCTCACTGGCAAGTTCCCTGAGAAGCATGGATGGAATCTCGTCTGGTCCTGGGGACTTCGATTTGTTCAATGCCTCCAATTATCTTCGGACAATGCCTTCTCAGAAGAGTATATCGCTGACTCTTGGGGTCGGCAGTCCTTCTGTGGAGGGAGGAATGAACCTTGACTCGTTTGTGTAGACTGATTGGAAAAACTGCGAAAAATACGCAGCTTTGTCCTTACTATCAGCAATCTCAACGTCATCAGTAGCCCTTATTAAGGGGATTTGATGCCTGTTCGTTGTACTTCGTCGGAGATAACTGTAGAGCAATTTGAGTTCTGCGTTGCTTTTTGTAACAAGTTCTTCTCGAACTCGCGTCGCGTTTTCATGATCAGGTTCCTCAGCTTGTTCCTCTGTGTCTTGTAGGTGTTGAGATATTCAACTTGCCCAGTGACGCAGTATTTTTCCACAATTTGTGCTTCCTGTTTATTTCTTTCTTGAGGTTGCTATTTAGCCACCCAGGGCGTTTATTCAGTCTTACACTAGTCAGTGGGCAGTGATTGTTGATAAGCTGCAGAAGGACATTCTTAAACAGCTCCCCGTCATCGTTGGCATTTCCCGTAAACAACGAGCCCCAGTCGAGACCGGATAAGTTTGCCCTCATCTGATTGAAGTTGCCTCGCCAAACATTCCGTCTTTTTTGGTCTGGAGAATGCGAAATGGAGAATAACGAATAATCCCACATAAGCACCACGTGATCACTTCGGCCAAGAGGCGGCATGGAGGTGATCTCGTCTATACTGTCTGGTGTTTTCGTAAAAACCAGATCAAGGCAGTTTGCCCTTTGTCCTTCACGTGTTCTCGTTGGGAACATTACATTTTGTGTGAGTGACGCCTTTAATGTAATGTTCAGCAGACGGTAATCGAATGCCGATTTTGGACCTGATGCTTGGAGGGTATTCCAGTTTGTTCCTGGTGCGTTGAAGTCGCCCATGATCATGACGTTAGGTCGACTGAAAAATTTCTCCAGTTGCTCTAATAGTTGAGTGTCGGCGATATGGCCTGTCCTAGGTGGTCGGTAGACAGTGAGGACATCGAGACACGGGGAACCGGTAGCCTTGATGGTCAACCAAATAGCTCTCGTGTCGCACGCAAACTTGGTGATGTTTTCCGACACTGCCAGGCCTTCATTCACATACACAACGATACCACCACCCTGACGATGTTCCCTGTCCCTCCGATAAATCTGGTATCCAGGCAAGGCTACTTCGTTATCGCTAATATCCCCGGACAGCCAGGTCTCAGTTACTGCTAAAACATCTGGAGACAGCTCAACAAGGCAAAGTTTTAGCTCATCTAGTTTCGATATGAGGCTTTGGGCATTCGTGTACAAGCACCTGAGTTTTGCGCCAGCCGAATTTCCCGTTGCATTTGTTACTGTTTTGAACATCACTCCGTTATCTCGAACGCCATGTTCTCTGGGCTGATGGGTTCCATTTATATGCGTTGCTTCAATCAGATCACTGGACATTACGCGCTTACTTGTGCTGCCGCTTGAGCAGGTGGTTCAACGAAGATGTCTGTTTTAGCTGAGTAGCTGTCGTCGTTCGTCGTATTCCAGGCTGGTTCCACTGAAACGGCATATATTTCCGAACTACCTTCCCCTTGAAGATAGCCAGATTGTGTTCGCCACCCTCCAGTCTTGATTTTAACTCCAAGACAAGTTCCCGGCGTTTCAGCCGTTCCGCTGGTGAATAGTCCGGTTGAAAAAAAACCTGTTTGTATGTGTTTCTGAGGTCGGTTTTTTTAGAGAGGATAAACTTGATTTGCTCTTTGTTCTCCAGCATAATTTTGAGAGGGCGAGGTGGTTGTGCTGCTGTCCTGTCTTCACTCCGTTTTCCTATCCGGAATGACTTCAGAACCTTTATTTCAATATCTACCTGGAGTAACTGATTTAGTAGACCATGAAAAGAAGCATGGTCCTCCGAGACACGGTCTTCAGGTCTGACTGTATGCGATTCCGACAAAATCTGAATAACCAGACACTGATGGCGAGCATGGTCCTCCTCACTTTGCCTTTCCGGTGAATTCGCTGCATGTGGGCGACGATTATTTGCGGAGTCGTCACTTGGATGCATACTTTGTTCTCTACCGACTGTCCCGAGCAACCCATCAGGTCTGGCTATGATTTCAGACTCCTGTCATGGCGTTTCCCTCTCCCTTCTACCCACGGGTTCGTGTCTTCACATTCAGATACGTGTTCTGTAGTGCGCTCGGTGTGGTTGCCAGAACAAGTGGGCAACAGTGCACTGGGTGACCCAGGCATATCGCCTCCAGGCAGAAGATAATTCCCGTCACTTACAGCAAGCGGCTTAGGCGAGATAGCTTCTGCGCCAGGTAATTTTTGTTTGAAATCGCTTAAGACATCGTGCGTGGGAATGGAGTCTGTCCTTATCGGCGGCTTCGTTCTCGTTGTCCTGCTGTTACTGGCGTCTGCGGTTTTGACTACTGGGTTGCTACTCGTGATAGAAGATGTCCCCGAGGAGATATTTTTTCGCGTTTTTTGCGTTTTGCTTTTCGTTTTTGGGACTCGGTCACTTGACACGTTCTGGTCGTCTAGGATCTGCTTCACGAGCGTCCTTAAATCAGTAAGCTCCTTTTCGAGTTGTCCTACTTTCATTTGGATACCTGCGCACCCAACACAAGGCTCATCTTCGTACCTCACACTTTTTGCGGTAATTACGCTTTTTGCACGCTTTGCTGGTCGTTGGCTGGAAGCACAGGTAGAGCGAGCACAGGTTCCCGGTGCGATGGACGTCTCACCAGACTTGTCTTCCAACGAGATGCCGTCGTTGGCCGTACTATTACCGTTAGCTTGCTGGGATTCCATAAACTTCGACATGATATAGTAGGTATAATTTCGCTTTCGATGTTATAACAAATACGTCGGCTTGTATATGACGAATTATAGTGAGTATTCAAAACTCAAGAAGCGAAAAAATACTTACAATCCGATAAATTTTGTGGAATTTAATCAGAAGCGACTTAGCCCTTTGTAGATCTCGTAGGACTTGAATAACTGCAGACCTTTAAGGATTTTGAACGATTGGTTTCCTAGGCTGTATAGCCCCGATTTGGTTGTATAAGCTGAATAGCCGTTCCATTCCAGCTTCACCAACAGCGGGCTGACCGAATGGCATTGTCGACGAAGACGGAGTTGAATGGAATGGCCGAATCTGGCTTATTAATCGTCCTCAGCCAGCCATATCCGATCCTCTACTTTGCAACACCTGGGGCTCGATCCTGCGGCCCTTTGATTAGAAGTCCAAAACCTTAACCACTGAGCTACGGGCTCTTTGGTATCGGTTGGGACCGGGCATATACGGTGGTCAAGGGTCGCTCACTTGCTGACGCCGGTTAATATGCCAGAAGTGACCATTCCCGTCCCCCTTGTCTTTGTCAGTAGTGTCATTCTGTTTATATTACGTGCCGCTATGAGGCTGCTGGCCAGGTACGAGAGAGCTCCAAGGCACAACGGGGTGATTGAGTTCTGCTGCACGATCAGTGAGCGTCCCTCCACCATTCGGATTTAGCAGCAAATCGAAGAAGATGGTGGTCATGCATAAACAGCACCAGAAACGAACTGCAAAGAAATTTGTAAACCTGGGCTGCACAATCTCATAAATGCCAGGATCGGCGACAAAGTGGTCCCCGAGTCTCTAAAGCCAGCCAGGCATTTGAGTGACTACGGACGCCAGTCTGGAATCGCTGAGGACTTCACATCAATGCCAAACTCAAGATCTGCACGGTGGTTGTGCTGACGACACTATTCTACGTGACAGGGATATAGAAAGCCCATTCCAATCAAGTCAGGAAGCTGAGTCCATTATGATTCGGCTGTCTTGGAAGAATACTAAAATTGATGTGAATAGACAAGATCCTGTACACGAAAGCCCTAAAACGAGCCGGAATCCTCAGCATCCGCACCATGCTGAGGCAACTGCGCGGCAGTAGCCTACTCGACTGGATAGATGAAGATCGCCTACAAAAAAACGACTCTTCCATGGCGACATCAGTACGGGTACTTTCCGACAAGAAGGGCTACAGCAGCGCCACAGGTACACCCCACAAACTTTACTCAGGGGTTTGAAAGTCATTGAGACGACCAAGAGAATCTCGTTCACGACCAACCGGTCTGGAAAGGAGGAGTGAGTAGTGAGGCGAGAATTTGTGAAATTAAACGCACAGCCGCTGTCAAAGTTCAGTGATCGGCTCGCATGTCGGAAACGCCGTGAAGCCACAACCTCAGCATTCGATCACTTCCAACGTTGACAAGGGACATTGCGCGCGCGGATCATCGTGGTCGGACATCTTCGAACCCAATGCAAAAACACGACAGCTCAATCTACTGTCTCTAAAAACGTCATCAGCGTCAATTATGTCACAACACCACGACGCCACCATGGCGATCACCACCACTGGTGAACAAAAACTCAGCGTCCCGCAGCCGCCTACCAATACTCCCATGATAACTGCCAAGCACACCGCGATGATGCCTACCAACTCCCCACTTCCGTTCACTATCAACCACCGCAGTCAACTTCACTATCATCGCCCTCACCACCAGTAGTGCGAGCTCGTTCCGAACCTCTCCTCATTGAGATCACATCTTCACATAAAGCACAGATTCTGTTGGTCACTGGCGAATCCATCACAAATAAGCTGACGAAGCGACGCCTGAAGTGTCAGTATGCACCCAAAACAGTCGCCTCAACAGACAATACTGTCACGCACATCCTGTAATCGCACGGGCCTAATCGATCATATGCGTCTCTCTGTGAATCTGCGAAGGACACCACAGACCAAACTCTATCATCACACATTTCCTGCAACTACATACACCGGACACAAACTCGTCCTAAGTCATGCATCACAAGCACGGAATACGCACACTCCGCGCGAGTGGGAAGCGTGTCCTTGACTCCCTCTCCATGTGGGCCCTATTAAACAATAAAGCATGTGGGTTCCGAACTGAATATTTATTTATTTGAAAACATTGCGTGTTGCGCAGGAGGCCAGGCCACTTGTGCCACACGAGATCTTTTCCTTTTGCTTAAGATTTTGGTATTTTTACACCGGTCCTTCCATTTGATTTTTGTCGACTTTTTAATGAGCCCTGACCTTATGTATTTGCTACACAACTTTCTGTGTACTCTGTAGTACTGTACGCTGGTTGAATTAATCATGCAATACATCTCACCCTACTTTTGCCGGCACAAACAATTATGCTTGCTCGGCCTTCCGCCTTATCCGACTCGATTTTTTAAGGTTCTGCTCTGTGCTACATTTTCGATTTTCGTCTACGCAATTATGCAGATTTTTTTACAGAAATCACGCTTAATTCAAGCGCCGACGGCTTTGTTTTCGAAAACGACAATCTATGACAAAATCTGACGTTTTAACTCATAGTCCAAGGAGCGCGTGGTTCAAAGGTCGAACGATTCTCCTTGCCGCTGGCAGTGGTAGTCGCCGAGCTCTGTTCCATTTTTTCCCTATTGGCATTGATCGCCGTGGACCTTTCCTACCCCTTTAAGTATGAACTTCCTGTAGTAAGAGTACAGGCTACTTTGACAGTGTCTCAGTGGCAACTAGTAGCAATTATACGCAATTATAGCTGCGTGTGTCGGACATTTCGTATGCGATATCGAAAATGGTTCATTCACAGCTGGCTATGAGCCATTAATCTGCTCAGACTTCAGTGCCCACTCCTGTTTATTCTGAATTTTGCCCGCCTGCCATTTCTTTCAGCCAGTCTGTGCATGTTCATCACCTATTGCGGTCGATGTGGTGGCTTGTTCAGAAGCAACTCTACTCTACTGAGGCAAATTCTGAAAGAGAACGAGGGAAAACTGTCAAAAAGTTCACACGGAAATACGTCGTCCGGCAGGTGAACAATGTCATGAGCACAGTACACTATTTTACCGTACAAAGCCACATGTCTTCACAAAGTTTCTTGGAAAAGTTTTACTGCACAGCACCAACTACACAACTTCGGACGGATTAAACAACGAATAACTGGAAACAATAAGTAGAGGTGCTTCCAGTATTTTCTGGATAATGCCCGTCCAAGATAATAGTGCCAGTGTGCAGAAAGAACCGATGTAATTCAGTCCCTTTCACGCCTTGGAGTCATTATTAAGCCCAGGGTGCTGCGAAAACCCTCCGGGCAAATAGATGTTCACGGACTTCAATCCATCATTCAAATTACTAATGACGGATTAGGGCATTTTGAAGGAACGCTCTGTTGGGCCTCGCGGCCACGAGCCCTACAACTGTCTTGTAATCCCTATGTGTACCGGGTGTAGGGGACCCAGGTGAAAAAAAACTTAGTATCCCAACATTTTGGACCATTAGTAAGGAAGTTCTTGTCTGTTGACGGTCGTCCGGCGGCGGGTAAGAAATCGTCATTGAACAGTTCCCGCCCTACCACACTATTATCAACCACATTCGCAGTGTATTCCACGAAAATGGCGTTGTTCGCAGTGTTCTGAGCTGCATCTCTGACAAAGTTAATGTATCTCCTGGACTTAGTAGTTATCGGGATAAAACGTAGACAGTTAAGACTATCTCAGGACGAAGATACCTCTGAGTGAACAAAGCAAGAATGACACTGTTCCGAATCGATGCTGTCCGCAGACTTTTTGAAGTCCTCATGAGTCAATTGATCCGTCACGATATCTCCATCGCAAAAGAGATCGGAGATAGCGTTTACTAGTCCAGTCAGTCCCATACGGTTATGCATAGTGGATTGTGTGCCTGGAAGGCGAGCAAAACTGGGAGTACTCGATCAACATTGTCTGGGAACCTTCTCTAAAGTGAGGCATGTCGACTTTGTCTGGAATGAGACGGCTCGGGCTGAATGCAACAATACGAGGGTAGCATGGGTCACCAAAGAAAGACGTCTGAAGCAGTTTGGGCACACCCTTCACCGTCCACTGCATGAGCCTTGTGCTGTTACCCTTCCCCCCGCCGCATCTGTTTAACTGGAAGCTACGAAGAGCTCGGCCCAAAACCTGATTGGCGTATTTTATCTTGCCATGGAGGTGGTTCTTGGACCTTCGGTATTTGCTCTTCTCCATCTGAGAAGAGGGTAAGTCGAACTCTCCGGATCCGCTACCGCAGATCCTTGCGCGTGGAGAGATGCTTTCCGCGACATCATCGAGGTAGACCATGCCGGACATAATCGTAACCATAACAAGTACAGGTAGTCTTCTAACGTGCGCAGGTGCGCCTTTGAGTCCGCTCATGGATTATTAGCGCAAAGTTGGGAGTCGCATGATTCCTGTACAAGATGTAAGTGGTCGATCCAGGTATTATCGACAAGGCTCGCTATCCGGACTGTAGCAGTTTGTAACCTCTGTGGTGTTCCCCATGTTTCCTTTGGGTTTTAGAAGAAATTCATTGCTGAACAGCCGCACTTCTGCGTTCGGTTCTCAGACTGCTATAAGTAGGTTCGTTGCCTCATGTGCGATCTGCACTTATCGCAAGTGATTAGGTTGCTGGGTTACAGTTTTACAGTACACTAGTGAATTTATATCTTTAAACAACTTTGGCATGGATGAAAACTGAGCTCATGCATCTCATGGTCCCATTTTCCTGCCTGTTGCAATACGACTGATGACCCTACTCACGTTGCCCACATCTGAAGTGGGACATCGCTCCACTAAGGTCAGTGGGCTTTTTCAAACGAAGGGATTCCCTCACTCCGACAAACCGTGTCTCGGTCCACCGTTAGATTCACATTGTTTGGGCTGTTTCTGAAGCTCGATTTTTTAAACCTTATAACAGTGCTCCCATGTAAACTAAATCCCCTTAAGGGAGATCTACTTTGTTTGCCCATTGTGATATTAAAGGCATTTTACGGTAGCAGTTGTCTTCAAGCATATTTAGCGTGCTCACTGGCCGGAACCCCATAAGTGTGAAGGATTTCTCTGTCGTTACCGACATGCAGGATGCTGGCAACTGGCGCAGTCGTAAATGGCGCTGGCCAAATCTAACAAGGTCTCGGCGTTGATCCGAGTTACATACACTTTTTTCAACGCACTTTCTTTGCCACGTAACCTTTTTCTGCTATTATTAACTAAACAGCGATCTTAAAACCCTTTCTTTTTTGGTACTTATTTAATCTTAATGTAAGTCTTTAACTTTTTAGGTCCCTGTAGTACGCCATGGAGTCGATGGGCTCCACACATCTGCTGCCTCTGGAACTAATTGACAAATGCATCGGTTCGCGGATCCACATTATCATGAAGAACGACAAGGAAATGGTTGGTACTCTTTTAGGCTTTGATGGCTATGTCAACATGGTCCTCGTTGACGTGACGGAATTCGAATTCACTGCCCAAGGGAAACGAATTACCAAGCTGTCACACATCCTTTTGAGCGGTAGTCACATTGCTATGATGGTCCCCGGTGGTGAAGGACCCGAAGTTTGATATTTTTATCATTAAAAGTTGTATATACATATGTGGACATTGTGTTTGTGTACTTTACCACGCTTCACTTAATCACTGGCATTTGTGAGCATCTGTTATCGTCATTGTAATTTGCTACCTCTTGCGAAGAGACATAAGTTATGGGATTTCCTTTAACGTTCATTGTCAAAAGTGCGGATTTAACCGTGCCGAGCCGTTTGGCCCTAGAATCCTCGAAGTCCGAATGGTTCTAGCACATCATTTATGAGTTTGCAGACCTCAACCTGCCTCAAGCGAAGCCTGTCCAGATGTGATAGCACTGTCAACACTTCTGCATGTGGTCTTGGTTGAATTTTAGCTAGTACTCACTTTTCACATCAGTGCAAACGGGTGCATCTTTTATGTTATATCCTATGACCGCAGTTGCCATAGGGCATTACACACTTGTAGAACGGGCATTACGTGACTGTTCTGTGGTAGTTGATTGTCTTCGACTAAAGTGTCTATTGAAATTTCGGGCCTGCCCTTAAAAAAGTCATGCCCCAGACACTTAACTCACAGACCCACACTTAGTAATTTCCATGTACACTTCTTAGCAGCGCCCATTTAATCCAAATCTGAAAGGCAACGAAGTTAGTCTTAGTATAGGTGCGATATTCAATTGAAAAGGGTTTCCGGAAAGGATTGAATAGGGGGCTGTCAGTATATCTGACCAAGTTTATACAGAGAGGGAAGCGGCAGCAAAGGTGTTACAGTGCCTTGACCATGTAGGGTCCCTCAAGCTCATAGCCGAGTTTTCGGTAGTAATCTCGAGTCCCAACACCCGAAATGACTGCCAGTTTCAGGGAGCCATGCTCTTCTCGGGCGATGCGCTCCGCCTCCTCCATAAGTAGTGTCCCGAAACCCTTTGAAAGAAGAAATGGTCGTGTTATGAGCCTATAAAACGCGCCAAACTGAGGACAATAATTTGGATATTGTCTATGCTAAGGGGTCAGTATGAAATCCTCTTCAAATTAGCTACGAAAACGTTAGGAGGCTTGGTTAGAGATAGTTTACCTGATGTTGGAATTTGGTCGGGTCCTTGGATGCCACTGGGACGGCACTACCGTAAACGTGCAACTCTCGGACAACTGAACACAAGGGATCGGAATTAGGTTCGGTGCAGACCCGTAGCTCGGGTCTAAAAGTTTCTGGTGAGCACTTGCGCAGACGAAGAAGACCAACGAGAATATCCTGGGTGGGGTCTTCGTATGCGAGGAAGGTCTCCCAGCCTCCATTGGCGACATAGTCTCGTCGGATCAATTCAATCTAGAAAAAACAAGATCGTTTACTGATCCAAAGGCAGGGAGGAGCACGAAGACAAGACAGTAGTTCGCAGTTCTCTCAGAAGCTTCGAAGAGGACAGTAAAATACACGAACACGACAGAAGATGGAACACCTCGAAATTAATCGGCAGTCCTGAACACAAACAGCAATGTTTTATCTAGTTTTTATTGCGGGTTTGCATCAAACACATAACCAATGCAGAGTTAACAAGTCTGCGCCGAAAGACCCTTCAAATTAGTTCCGCCACCCAACACTGGAGTAGAGTTCAGCTAACGTCAGTTGTTCTTTGACAATAGTGTGTGGAAACAGTGTAGTGTTAGAGGCCCGGGTGTAGGTTCCCGACGCCAAGTTGTGAGTCGGTTTATAATGGTAGGGGGCGCTCACCGATCGTTCATACGGAACTCACCCGCTCCGTTGTGCCTTAAGGGCTCTCTCTCGAGCCCAACCAGCAGCCGCACAGCGGCGCATGATATATAGGCAGAATGGCATTACCGACAAAGACAAGGGGGACTGGAATGGCCATTTCTGGCTTATTAGCCGTCGTCAGCCAGCCATACTCAAGCCCGAAGTGTGAAACACCCGAGCCTCGAACTTGCGACCTGTTGGTTTAGAAGTCCACGCCTCTACCCACCGGGCCACGAGCCCGTTGTCCTGTCGGTTTTCGGTTTATAACATGCGTCTCAAGGACTCACAGCCAAAACCTATTCAGGCGTAGGGGTGTCAAAAGCAGTTGGCAATAATGTACAGACAGAAGTAAACGACACCGGGAGTACCTGATAGGGCTTGATCTTCCGGTGAATTTCCTGGATACCAACTTCTCGAGTGCGTACATCGCGACAACTTGCCCCTAACTCTTCCATCCTGGCGAGTGCTCGTTCGCGCAGGTTTCCATGTTCGACTCCACTAGTCACTAACGGCATCGGAATGTCCCTGTAAAGGGGAGAACAGAGAGTATAAACAGGGAATGCAGGCGAGTTTTATCCCCCTTCCTTCAAAGAGTAGACAACTATAATTGCTTTTAAGCAATTCAGGTTACTCCAATACAAGGAGGGACGATGGATGGGGGAAGTGCTCAAGCAACATGCGGATGTTGTCTAGGTAACACAAATCCTTACCTTTGAATCCGATAGATGCGGGTCCAGGGTGGAACAAGGGCGAGGATACGCGCAATTAAGT